TAGATAGATAGATAGATAGATAGATAGATAGATAGATAGATAGATAGATAGATAGATAGATATTTCAGCTGGATAGCACAGTGGTAGCCCTTTGACATGGGAGATAGGGTTCGAATCCCAGCTGTTACCTACCTTACCAGTACGTGTCCTTGGGTAAAGACCCCATAATGCTTCACCTGCCCACCTCAGATATGAGATTTACATGAAATAAGAGAGTCATGTCAGCTTGGACATCACCAGGATTAACAAGGTCCATGCCAGATGTTGGGGAATTAGGATAATCTGATGATAAATGGGCTATTGGAACAAACCATACATGGACGAGACAAGAGAACCTGGAATTGATGGAGTGCTACTACAACAGCAGGCCTAATGACAGCGGATACATGAAACGCATGAGGGAACTATGGATAGACAGAAGACCTACATCCACACTAACTGGGAAACAGCTAATTACCCAACACTTCAACATAGTGAAGAGGAAGCTGCTCTCACAACTTGAGATACACCAACTACACATTACAACCTGGACTCAAGCAGACCTGGAAGAACAACTGGATGTGCAGCCAATAGCTGAAACTTGAATGTCACTGCCACATGCTCCATTATAGAATACAGCATCTGATATGAGGCATAAGATCATGGATAAATTTCCTACAGTCAACTGTTGAGATTTATTACCAAGGGTCAATGGAGAAGTACCATCACATAGTATGCTAGAAGATACCAATACCGCCCTCATGACAATCCCTACAACCACCATAACTCAAATCAAAGAACTAATATATGCTATAGCCACCGTAATCCTGGAGAAGCTTGGCTACCCAATCAAGAAGAACAGCACCACACACACCTCTGGAAAATGAAGTTGGAGGCTAACATCAAAACAACTCAGAGAGAAGTTAGTCAGCTGGTGGAACTACAGAAGGATATGAAGATTAAGGGTAAGACTGGACTACTGAAAAATACAAGGGCCTGACTCCATCTGAACCCTAGAGACTGCTAAACAAAGGCTCACAGCACTGTCTAACAGGTTAAGGAGACAGTAGAGAAGCCTGGTTTGCTCTAAAGGAATGTTAAAAAAACATCTATGAGGACCAGAATCATACTTCAGTATCTGGAACAGTGATTCACACGTTGAACCATAGAATTGAAATTTATTTAAAGAAGTTATTGATATTCTATTTTGCAGTAGTTCATGATCTCTTTTTGGCCAACATGAAAGATAGTATAGATATTCCAGATGACCATTGTCAGCTGTATTTTGTGGTTGGGAATTTGCTATCATTGCTCTTGACTGTTAACTTTGACTTTTAACTTTTATTAACTTTAACTTTTCATTAGTCTCTGGTCTTGATTATCCTCCATTGTCAATATGTTGGCTAAAACCCCATATGCGTTAGTATTATATAGAAATGATTTCTAGCCTGTTGCTTGTATCTGTGCTTCATTTTATGATTCTTGGGCAGAGTTAAACCTCTCCATTAATCCTGGATTTGGACCAGCATAGAGATATGTTACTATGTTTATGGCTAGACTATTATAAACTGATCTGAACATGTGACAGTCTTATCTAATGTTATAATTGTCTGATACTGAGACATGTTTGATCCTCTGATTCTTGTTACTTAAAGAAAAGGACGATTTTGTCTCAGGGAATGCTTCAAAATTAAAGTAATATGGGTCTAATTATATCCTCCCCAAAGTAGAATCCCATAAATGTTTTAA